ACCCATGGTACCCGCCGCATCACCAGCCGCACCAGCTGCCGCAGCAACAGCCACAGCAACAGGCGCAGCAGCAACTGCAGCACCAGCCGCAGCACCAGCACCCGCTGCAGCCGCAAACCAACCCGTGGCACTACCCGCAGCACCAGCACCACCAGCTGCCGCACCAACAGCAACAGGTGCAGCAGCAACTGCCGCACCAGCCGCAGCACCAGCCCCAGCAGCAGCCGCAGCACCAGCCGCAGCACCAGCTGCAGCACCAGCCGCACACCCTGCCGCGGCACCGGCCGCAGCACCAGCCGCAGCAGCGGCCGCAGTCTCACCCGCAGCAGCAGCCGCAGCAACAGCCCCACCAGCAGCCCCAGCAACAGGCGCAGCAGCAGCCCCAGCAGCAACCGCAGCACCAGCCGCAGCAGCAACCGCAGCGCCAGCCGCAGCAACCGCCCCACCAGCAGCCGCAGCACCAGCCTCACCAGCAGCCGCAGCAACAGCCGCAACCCCACCCGCGTCGCCAGCTGCAGCAGCAGCCGCAGCAGCAGCCGCAACCCCTGCCGCAGCAGCAGCCACAGCAGCGACCGCTGCCCCTGCCGCGGCAGCGACCGCAGCCCCTGCCGCGGCACCAGCCGCAACCCCACCCGCAGCACCAGCCACAGCAGCAGCCGCAGCAGCAACCGCAGCAGCACCTGCAGCAGCAACCGCAGCACCAGCCGCAGCCCCAGCCGCGGCAGCGGCCCCACCAGCAGCCGCAGCCCCAGCCGCGGCAGCGGCAGCGGCCCCACCAGCAGCCGCAGCCCCAGCCGCAGCCCCAGCCCCAGCAGCAGCAGCAGCAGCAACCGCAGCACGAGTCGCAGCAGCCGCAGCAGCAGCAGGAGCCACAGCGGGAGGTGAAGGTGCAGCAAGGCCACTTGCCGCTGCCCCAGCCGCGGCGAACGACGCAGGAGGTGCAGCTGCCGCAGGAGGAGGCAAAGACAGAAGAGGGCAGCGAAGAAGCTGCTGCTAAAAGTGAAGAAAAATCTGAAGAAGCAGAGGCCGCTGAAGGCAAACGAACAGGCACAAGGCGGAGGAAAGCAGCAGCGCATGTAAAACAGAATGCTGAATCCCTGCTGGCCCGGCACAGCGTTGGTGCTGTGCCTCCTTTTCCTTTAGAAGCAGAAGCAGCAGCGACGCAGGAGCAGCAGGAGCCAGAGGTGGACTACGCGCAGCAGCAGCAAAATCTGCTGCGGCTTGCGAAGAAAGACCTTGGATGCCTGCCTCAGGAACTGCAGCAAGACGTATCTACAGCTTCTTCCATTTTGTCGGCGCTGCGGCGAGAAGTGGGTGAACAGAGAGATCGGCTTTCGCGGCTCGAAGAAAAAGCTGCCAATGATGAGAAAAATATTAGTGAAAAAATTGCCATTTTGAAGGAAACAACAACGCCGCAAAGACCCACCAGCAACCCTATTTTGCAGCAACTACTGCGGCACCAGGAACACTTCGGTGCGAAACGGCGAAGAATCGAAGAGGAAAAGAAGAAACTGGAGGATCTTATGGGGAAGTTGCAAACTATGAAATATTCGCCGCACCAAGATGGGCGCACGGTGCTTTTGTGGCTGCAGCACGCTGGTGGAGGTCAGCAAATTTCAGTTGCTGCTGCTGCTGCTGTTGCAGCAGCAGAGGTTGTTTTGGGAAGGTATTCTGGGGGTTGCGAGCTGCAGGCGACTGCCGAGGAAGCAGCAGCTGCCTCTGGACTCTATGATCACTTGTGGGAGAGAATGAAATCCTCGCATGCCCGCCTACAGGAACTCATAGCGCAGCGAAAGGAAACCCAGCAGTATCGGCAGCAGCAGACACTGGGGCACCAGCTGCGCAGCGAAGTTTCGCGAGCAATAAGGGCCATAAGCGAAGCCAGCAAGGTGAACGCGGGGTCTCATGCTGTGCAAAACCTGGATCCGCCTGGGCCAGAGTGGAAATCGCTTTTGTTTGAACTGACCCTAGCAACTTCCCAGCTGCAGCAGGAGCAGCAGCGGCAGGAGGAAGAGCGTGCTGCGGAGTCTCAGCGGCGGCGGCGGTGGCTGGAAGGCGTGGCCGACGCAGCAGCCAACAAGCAGCGAACTCAGGCACTTATCGACAAACTCAAAAGAAGCGTTGATGGCGCGATGGAAGTGTTGAGCCAACTCATGCACGGGTCTTCAGGCCAGAAGTCTCAGTCGCACGGCGAAGCGCTTCTCGACATCAAAACTGTCGAGACAGTCTTCATTCGAAATGGAGAGGCGCTGCAGGGAGTGCATGAAGGCAAAGGCGAAGATGCAGACTTGGAGTTGTGCCGTGCACTTGACGGCGCTGTGCAGACCTGCCGCAAAGCAATGGAGTTGCTGCAAAGGTATTTGGATCCTCAGTGGGAGGGGCGCAGCACGCGACTGCAGCAGCAGCTGCTGAAGGCAGCACAAGAAGTCAGCGCTGCAGCGAAGGACTGCGAGGACCTCATAACTACGACTGCCCCCGCTTCTTCAAAGGAGCAGCAGAGGCGGGCAAGACTTGAGGAGACATTCCTTAGTGCTGTCTCTGTCTTTGCAACAACAGAAGGGATGGCCACTACTGCACTCACTCAGCTGCAGCGTGTTGCTGCCTTGGCTGTGGCGCCGCAGAGGCCCTCAACAGCAGCAGAAGGGCTCGAGAAGGTCATGAAGAAAACCAAGGAAGAATTCACGAGTGCTGTCTATACAGTAGGAGGGGCCTGGAATCGGGCAGTGACGCAGTTGTCCCGACAGCATTCATTTTCCAAAGGAAAGGAACAGAAAGCAGCATCAGAAGGGGACAGTGCAGCAGCAACAAAGCATGGAACGGAAGCAGAACAGGCGCAGGAGGCAAGCAGAGCTTTGCAAACACACGCAAAGACGCTTCTCAAGAAATTGCAAAGCGCTGGGGCTCCTAGAGAAGCGCTTACAGCGCTTTATGAAGCGTCGAAGGAACCCAGCCATCGCTAAAACCTGCAGCAGGATTTGGGCTGCAGCGGCATTGCGATGGGGGCCGAGGTGACAGCAAAAGGACCGCCAGCATGAGCTGCAGCAGGACCTGCAGCTGGGGCACGGGCAATATGTGAAGCATAAGGTGTTGTGGTCGCAATGGAACAGCGAAAAAGAGAAAACGATTCGGGGAACCGGCTGAGGCAGGAACGGCAGCAGCCCTAGGCAGAGGCGCCAGCAAAGATATGGCCCTCTGATTTATATTTGTCAGTAGGTTTTATAATCTTCAGACTAGGTCGACGGAGCACTTGAGTCACGCGCCTCTAAGGAACGTGAAAAGTGTAATTTGGTCAACAATGCTTATTGACACACTGAATCTGATAATTTGGAAGGTAGCTCATCAATGATTTCCCTTGTGGCCAATTCACGTTTATTTGAATACACAGTTAACATGATTAATTGTTTATTTTTTTGGTCACGACTTATGTGGACGGTTGCCCGTTTGCATGTATGCATTCCAGTACATGCACACCATGATGTGCTGTATGAAACCCCTCGATTGAAGTAATTACTTGTTCAGTGAGTAAAGGAAGTAGTGACCTCCCTCACTAGTTTATTTTTCCCTAGCAATCACATGCGTTTCTGGAGCAAATCTGCATGTTGTTTCAGCCTGAATAGGCCACAGAAATGTTGTGTTGTCAAATGCAACACAGGCATTGATTAATCTGAAGTGTTGATTAGTCTAGAATATGCACTGATCCATCGCTTTGAAGGCACACTAGATATATCCGTCAGCATTCATATACTGCATGTTTTTATATTTCATCTGGTCACTGTCTTACATCTTCGCCAACATGCGGAGCTTTCGCGGCAGTCGCTGTGTGACAGCAGCAGATGTCGTCCACGTTTTATCGTAAAAACGTATAGTGCTATTCAAAACCAGAGCATGTGTGGTTCATCTTCGAGTGTCCTTGTGCAAGTTCTTGTTTTGCGTGTGCACTTCTAAGAAAGTCTTACATGCGTGTGCTTTTTATCATGATTGTGACTCGCATGTGCAGCATTTTCCACTGTTGGTTGGTGTGTTGTGGTTATTACGTATTCCCTTTGGTTTTATTGGTAGACTAGAACGAGCTACTGCCCAGTCGTGTGCGTTCGTGCACATGTGCATGAACGCATATGCGCATATTCTCATTTTGCGTAGGAGCGCGCGAGCTATCTTATACTGTACATGAACAGGCATAACTGAGCAGATCTTTCACTCGATACATTCATTGCGTTTTCATATTTAGGAAGCGTAAACTTCCTATGGTTACAGAGGCAACGTTTCTGCAACATCATTTGCACCTTGTAAAAACATCTCCGAAAGCCTGCGGGCAGCTACTAGAGGTGCCAAGGCAAAGAAACAACCGAAGCACAATGCAAGTGAGCAAGAGTTTAAGTGGGCCCGCAACACGCAGAGTCTGAAGCGGAGCCTTGGAGCCCAGAGCTATGCAGCCCTACTTTAAAAGGTCTTCTTAGTGAATACTTCAGTAAGCAAGACTAACACGACGAACCTGTGGTACTGCGGCGAACCTTCTAGTTGCCTAACCCGCCAGATGGGCATGTTGGCACGCAGAGGAGCAGGCGAAAGAGAGCTACATAAAATGGTCGCAACCTTTCAGCTCTCCTGTAACGTCTGTAGTAGGACTCTGGGTGGCAGTGAAAGCCTTGGGTCCAGATGCAACCGTGGTTGAAAGGGCAGACGCCTGTGTGGTGCGTGACCATTGTCTCCGGGCCAGACTTCCGTAGTGTAAGCTAGTAGTAGGCACAAACTTACTCACTATCCCGCGCGCTAGGCATGGCGATTGACTGAAAGTACTTGCGGAAAATTGAGCTCCGCTCACGTTATGAACTTCGGAATGAGACTACACTGCAGTAAAGTTTTTGGTACCACGCTTTCTGGAGTCGCCTGCTTCCGCTAGGACGCTTAGCTGTGCTATGATCTCAGGGACATGAAAAATATTCAAGGCCTTTATAGAGCGTTTGAGCGCGTATGATTCCTGGTATACCGAAGTATGGCTTGCAGGGCAAGGGGACCCCGTGGCCCATCGCAGGTTGGACGCGGCGACTACTGCTGGCCGTTTCTTGAGAGTGTCCGAAGTGCAATACAGTGGCCAACTTTAAGGCGTTTTGGTGGAAGTTTTGAAAAGCGTGCATGCCGTTTCGAGATCCAATAGTGCTCATTGTGTACACAAACCGTTGCTTTTGGTGTCTAGAGGAGCAAGCGCTGCGGATATTTGATCCTCAGGACCGCGGCAGACACTTTGAGTTTCTTGGTGCGGCTGCCCAAGAAATGTTTCACATTCCACACTTCCATGCTAGACTGTGCCAAGGCGTCACTGTTTCATGCCGTAAGCAGCTGTTTTTCGAGTGGGTCCCTCGTAATTCTTCCCAGCTGCTGAGGATCGCAGCGCTTGTGGCCTTCCAAAACGCATGATTCTCGTCCAGCTACAACACATTATACAGCTCTAACTCTGAGCAGCTGTTCTTTTACGTGTATTTGAGAGTCTCAGTGGTCTAACCCGGGCCGCTGGGGCCATGTGCACGGTAGAGCCTCCTAACGGCTCTACTGGGTTGTTGTTGGGCAAGTTATAGAAAACTGAAAGTTGCGTCGGAAGCATGCATTTGCTTAGCTGCGTGGGTGCCTAAAAGCATGCTCCAGGCTTTTTAACATAGATATAAAGCGGAAGGGTATCGAACGCGCATTAGAAACAATACACCCTAGCTGTAGAGGCCAGAAGAAGGCCGTCCTCGCGTTTTTCCCTATTGAAAGTTTCCAGCTTTTATTGTTGCTTTTACAAAAAAAGGAGTATATACGTAGACATTTATTGTTCTGGTCCCGCCTGTATTTCTGCAGAACGGATGCAATGCTGCCTAATTTTTGCTGCAGCTCAGGTGGTATTGAAAGGGCACGAATCTACAGAACCAGGGCTTACGAAACAGGTGAAGGCCTAAAAGTCTACAAGACGAACTTCGAAGAGGATGGAGCAGTCCTAAAGATGGAATCAGACGAAAGCGAGCTACCCGCGTGTTCACCGTGCATTCCTCTGTCGTAGTTGTTCGCCTGTTTTCGTTCAATAATTGCGTAGTTATTCAGGAACAATCTGTTATCTAAACAGAGTCAAGTGACGTGCGTGGAGTGAAGTTCATGTGGAAGTTGTTGATGGAAAGCAAGTTTCCACTTGTTCACGTGTTCTGCAGGGGTGGTGCCGGCAGCTCCCGCGCACCGGTCCGCTCCCTGCCTGAGGGCTCAGCTCCAGCCAAGGTCGCTCTCACCTCTTGCGGCTCTCCATCTGAGAATTCGTGCACATATAGTCAAAGACACATATTAAAGGTTATTTGTTCTGTTTTATCTTTGAAACGGCAACGGAAAGAACATCAAAGCAGCCCCGGTGTGGGGTTGGCATCCTTGGAGGAGCGGCCTCGACGAGCCGTGGAGATCTTCCGTTTCTGAACAGTTACAGTTTTATTGAGTGCGTTAAGATGCGTTTCAAAGGTTAAAATGCATCTTTTTTGCGGCTTTATAGCGGTGTTTGCCCTCTCGTTTCCTGGGCCTGGGGATTTCCGCACAGCCGCTGCTGCAGCAATTACAGCAACTGATCCCCAACATGTACGGGCACAAAGCACGTTTACAGCCTTGACCATTTCTTCCCGGTCGCCGGGAAGGAGCGATCTTTCAACAAGCTCGTTTATACGGCCCTCGGATTCGCAGCAGCCATTAAAAGGACGAAAATTTGGACCCAGATCCCCTGTCAGAAAAGGACTGGCAAGTGATCCCGTCCTCGTCTTGGTATTTTTTGCCTTGGCTTTTTTGATTGCAAAATGTGCGGACGCAATTCGCTTACCAATTAATTCAAAAGGAACTCGTTCTTTGGCTGCAGGCGGCCAAGACAACTGCGCCTCTCTAGCTGCGGCCGAAGCTGCTCTGGCTGAAACGAAACCGGCAGCGGGCGAACTACCGCCTGAAGTGCAGCAGCAGTTAAACTTCCTCCAATTACCTGAGTCTGACGCCAAAACCCTGACAGAACAGGAGCAATCTAGTGTCAGTGATGCATTAGCTCGACTGAAACGGCTTATTGGAAATGCTGAAAAAAGCACAGCAGCAGCTAAGGGATTCCGAGAATCTCTCGAAGAAGATGCACGAGAACTGGAGAAATTGACTGCAGCAATAGCCCCAGGAGAGCCCTTGCCGGCCGCTGCTCTGACCTTAAAGCGAGATATCGAAAGCGACCTCCCGCAGCTGCAGGGGCTCGAGGCAGCTGCAGAAGCAGCCCAACAGAACCTACGCGACGTGGGTGCCACTGCAGAGCAAGGAGCGTGGGCTCTGCACGAGTTGGCTGTGCGTTTGTCATCAAAAGGGAATCCATCAGCATCAGCAGTCGCTGCTTTGGCTGCAGCCCGTACAGTGCGGGGAGAACCGCTTTCTTTACCTGCGTTCCCCGCTCCCTCTGTGCTACTTGCACTGCTTGATCTCAGTAACAGTATGCTGCACTCGCTGAATGAAGCTAAAGCAGCCATTGGCAAGGCCTCCCTGGAAGGACACACTTCATCAGATATCGCGAAATTATTAAAAGCAGCAGATGCTAAAGTGCGTGCAGCGAAGCACATGTCCTCTCAGCTGCTGCAGCTGAATATCTTCAGCCCCTCCAAGCATCTGAAGCACTCTTACAAGCAACTGGAAATACGAATGCGCGCAAAGGAAGCGTCGCTGCAACAGCAGCAGGCGCAGCAGACGCAATCGCTTAGAAAGCATCTTAAGCAGAAACATGAGAAAGAAGAGGCTACTTGCACGGAAGCAGATGCTTCTGCATACGGCCGAAAGGTTAAGGAAGCTGCTGAAAAGCTCAAGAGTGTCCTGGGACGGCTGGACCAGGGGGGCAGCAGCACCACGCCGGGGACGCAGCAGCAGCGGAATTTGAATCTTTTGGAAGCGCCCTACCATCTCACAGCAGACGCCTTGAGCCTCGCCGAACGTATAAACA